GCAAACATACACACACACATACACACATACATATACACACACAGGCGGGTTCGTCTCAATATGCGTTTTTGCAATTTGCATATAGGCAAAAACGCATAAAAGCGCATATTGAGACGACCCCGTCTGTGTATGAATGTGTGTATGTGTGTGTTTGTGTGTGTGTGTGTGTGTGTTTGTGTGTGTTCGTCTGCCCGGGTATTTCAACTCGGCAACCAAGCAAGTTCCAGCTCCGAGATTTTGCTAATGGGTACCCTGGCCAAGTAACACCCCAGAACCGCGGCACCATCTCTTATGCACGTCTGGGCCCCGAGTACGAAAAGGGGAAGATTTTGGCGGGAAAATTGAGAACTCAGGAACGCGAAAAGATAGGAAGCTGAAATTTTGAGGCTATGTTCCCCGTTCAAATATAACTCAACGGTTTCAAATTCAGCCTCCAGGTGCGCGTGGTTCCCGCGTACGGCCCCGTGAGATTTCTCGGCAGGGAAATGGCTAACTCGGGAACTAGCAAAGCTGGGGAGCTGAAATTTTCAGGGAATGTTTCTAGCCTGCGTACGACTTGAGTTCATCAAATTCAGCCTCCAGGCGTGCGTGGTTCCCGCGTACGGCCCCATGAGATTTTTCGGCGGGGAAATGGGTAACTCGGGAATTAGTAAAGATGGGATTCTGAAATATTCAGGGAATGTTCCCAGTCCACTTACGACTTAAAATTATCAAATTCAGCCCCCAGGCGTGCGTGGCTCTCGTGCACGGGCACTTAAATTTTTGGCGGGAAATCACTCATTGAACAGCTGGGTCATTTTCAAAAACTACCGCTAAAAGGATATTGTTTATTTTCTTTTATGCAAAATTTACGATGAGTTACGGTACTGAGAGCACAAGGTAGGTGTAAAGAAAAACAACCACTCATGCAGTTAACCTAATTATTTCAAGTCCGGTGCAAAAACGCATGATCGGACCAGCTCGCCTGGTGCGTTCCAGCCAGGGTTGTGAATTTGAGACCGCTTGATCAACAATGCATGTCCAGTTGCTGGACAAGCTTGTCATAAATTCATTCCATGTGCCTGTG